CGCACAGTATGTGTTTGGCCGTTTCTGGTTTCTTGTGACATAGTCGGCACATGAGTTCCCCATTGTACATGTCAATTTTGTTCAAGTGTCCCTTTACTGGGGCGTGCACAGTCATGAACCCTGTTATCACTTTCAACTGGTTTCTATTCATGAAGAGTATTTCTCCAGTTCTTTTGGGACATGGTCTGCCTATGAAGAATTTTCCATGTGCCTGTTTTGGGGTGCTTCCCTAATAGTTGATATGTTGTTCCCGAATCCATTCGTTTATGGAACCCCGATCTGTACTTTTTGGTACTCCTGAGTTTGTGTCTGGTTCCGGTGTTTCTTCTGACCCTCTTTTTGCAAGTTCGTCAGCCTTTTCGTTGCCTTCGATCCCTTGGTGACCTGGCACCCAAAAATAGTTTTACTCTATTTCGGTCTGCCAGTGTTCTTAGTTCTTCGATGCATTCCCATATCAGCCTCGACGTAACTTTCTGACTCGATATGGCCTTAAGTGCCGCTTGGCTGTCTGACATTATTTGAATATGCTGATTTTCGACAGCTCTTTCATTATTCGTTTTTGCACATTGCAAAATTGCGTAAACCTCGGCCTGAAATACCGAGGAATGTATTCCTATAGCATAGCTATTGTTAGTATCAGTGTTTTTGGAGAATACTCCCGTCCCAGTGCCTTTTGCAGTCTTAGACCCGTCTGTAAACCAGGTTTGTTCCTGTCGTTGGGCATCGGGCTCGCTTAAGGTGATCTCCGCTCTTTTCTGTATTAAAACCTCAAATGGAGTATTAAAAGAGTACCTCTTGGTTATATGGTCTGATCTAATGTCCAGCACGTCTCCTGTCACTAACCTTGAGATACTCATGTGACCTGACCTAATGTCAAGATTTCCCAGTGTATTCCCTAATCTGTAAGCACCTAATCTTGCCTCCCCTTGTATTACATAATGAAGAGGTGGGAGTCTTATTAGTGCTTCCATTTCAGCTGTGGGGGTTGTTTTCATTGCCCCCCGTTATTCCGAAGCAGGCAAGTCTTTGTACCTTGCTTAGCCTCGTTATTGCTTTCCTTTGCTGTCTTTGGCCACCACACCAAAGCTGCTATAGAATATACAATTCCTTCTAATATTTCTTCCATATAGAGGAAAAGATGTCTTTTGAAATGTCTTCTATGAAAAATGAAACTTCTGCTTATATTTCTTCCATAGAGGAGAAAAGGGATATGGGAAAGAAAATAGAAGAAATTGAAAATATGGAAAAACAAGTTGTGAAAAATAGGGAAGAGACTGTAAAATAAACAGTTGCCACAAATAGGAAGTTTTCTTGGCCTCTGTACGTACTATCCAAGATTCATAAGGAAGATCTTGGATATTGCTAAGCCATTAACATGACTTACAGACGAAACAACAGAATTATGCTGGGACAAAGACTGTCAAACTGCCTTTGAAACTTTAAACATGCATTTAACCCCACTACCAGAAGGAGAATTAATTCTAGATATTGATTTCGAAGATTCAGGAAAGATAAGTACTAAATTATTTTAGTCAAGTACTCTCCAAACCTGAGCGAAATTACTGCATTACTCCTGGCATTTGTGAAGTTTGTGGAACATTTCTACCATGGTGGATACGCCATTTCAGAAAGTTCTCTACCCCATTAAATGATCTCGAAATTGCAATTTTTAGGAAATGCATTTACTTTTCGTCCAGTGTAAAAAATGGTGGAGAATGTTTTGAATTTCGATAATAATTCTGGCGAAGGCATCGCTGTCATAGTAATTTCTGGTGAATGTGCGAACAATTAGGGAAACTCCACCATTCTATATTAAATAGGCCACGTTTGCTGATATGGACAGTATATAGTTAGATATTGTTGTGTTAAGATACATTGTCAAAGTAAATTAGTAGGTTTGAATATAAATAATTTAAGTCATAAAATATTTAGTGTATTCAGTAAAAATAAATGAATCTTGCGACTATTTTCTCTTTTGTGTCCTACCAACTTTAAAATAATAAAGTAGTATATTGTTAAATTATTTTATTTGCAAATCTTAGTGGTAGATGTATGTAGTTTTTTGAATGCCTCCTACAATAATTACGACGCCAATTTTCGAAAAATTAGTCGCTAAAAATTGGTCGCTAAGTGTTAAAATTAAAAATGCTTTGACAATTTTTTAGCTTTTTGGACATTAGATTCAGAAATGATCTTTGTTTGTACTCTAAATATTAAAATATTTTTCCAAATTAAGGGATTTTTATTTTTGAATCAAAGTAAATTATACAAACGTTCCATCGCTTCCAAAATAAGTTCTCAGACGAGATTCGACGAAAACACAATTAAGAAAAAACTCAGTTTAATTGGTATTCTGGTTCGATCCGCAATTTCAGTGAAAAACGTTCAGAATCGAGACGATAAATTTGAATGAATTTCATTTGATGCCTTGGAATTTAAAAGGCCTACGTTGCTTGCGCACAAAGGGACGATAAAGGGTTAATTTTGGCGTGGGAGGATTTATTTATATATACACCCTTTTTAATTTTTTTTCTGTATTATCGAGGGAATGTCGATGAAAATGTCCAAAAACAAGTGTGTCCCAGGATGATTTAACAAGAAAAAGTGAATAATTGACTTATAAATGTCACTAATCAAATCTATTTAAAAATTTTGTAAATCGTTTTTTATAAAAATAAATGGTTACATTTAGATTCTCAAATTGAATTGTTTATTTTACCGATCAAAAGAAAATTTAAACGGAAATCCGTTTTTCTTGACGAAACGATGATTTTTGCTAAATGTAGGAAAAAAAGAATTTGACAGAATCACAATAAGAAAAGTATATTTCAATTTCAGTTTTATCGTTTTCTACTAAATCAAAATAAACTCACAACCACGGTACGTAACATAAATGGGGATACATTTATTTGTGAAATATATTCCATCTTTATAAGTAGAAATTGAGAAACAATAAATACTTAAATCATCACTGTAATAAGTACATTGTAATAGATCCTCCCCTGCCATCAGTATTTAGGAGACATGCATTCGCATTACTCAACACTTACTGTGGAGCCCATTCAAAATTAATCATATTGTGTTCTTCCAGAGAGAGGTGGGAAGCCAAAATTAGTTTGGTTGTCTGGCTATTGTCAGGATGCAGATTCTCTTATTAATTATTTATGAGAAAGATAGTATATAGTATAAGTATTAAAATTATTACACTAAATGCACAAATGTATAAATATTAACATATATCTCATTCTTAACAAAAAATAACAAAAACAAAGATCGGCTAATGGACAAAGTCTCTAGTCAAAAAAATCCAACCTCACACGCACACATTTATGTCTTTCTTACTGTATTGTCTAGTCTCTTTGTAATAATCCTAATTATTATTTATTTATATTTAGAAATAAAACACTTTTGTTTCCTTTAGTACCGCACGCTTGTCCATGCCATGTATGACTGACTTTCTCTACCCCGTGAGTCAACTGTTACGTCAGGGGCAAGCGTACCTACATTTATTTATCTACTTAAGATGATTCACATACACTACATTTACTCTAGGATACCGCAAAATACTGTATATTACACGGGTGTGAAGTTATGTACACTGAGAAAAATACAGCTCCATTATAATGGTCATATAACTTCGTTTTAGAGAAAACACATTTTTATTTTATATAAAGAAATATATTTTGAGTTTTTTTTATGTATTTTTTGTACCTAAATTATAATTTACTACTACTATCTATGATTTTTTTTTAATGTCACCCCAACTGCACCCCCTCAGACGGCTCGACAAACTCCAGCATGATATCAGGGATGAAGAAAAGAGCAAACTACATAACATATCCCAAGCAGAAAGGTGTACAAAGCCATTTGTGGCTTCTATGATTTTTTTTTTAAATTTCACCCTTAATTACACCTCCTCAGACGGCTCAACAAAATACAGCATGGTATCAGGGATGAAGAAAAGAGCAAACTACATAACATATCCCAAGCAGAAAGGTGTACAACGCTATTTGCGGCTTCTATGATTTTTTTTTAATTTCACCCTTAATTACACCTCCTCAGACGGCTCGACAAACTCCAGCATGGTATCAGGGATGAAGAAAAGAGCAAACTACATAAAATATCCCAAGGAGAAAGGTGTACAAAGCCATTTGTGGCTTCTATGATATTTTTTTTAAATTTCACCCCCAAATTCACCCCCTCAAACGGCTCGACAAACTCCAATATGGTATCAGGGATGAAGAAAAGAGCAAACTACATAAAATGTCCCAAGGAGGAAGGTGTACAAAGCCATTGGTGGCTTTTATGATTTTTTTTTTAATTTTACCCCCAATTACATCCCTCAGACAGCTCGACAAACTCCAGCATGTTATTAGGGATGAAGAAAAGAGCAAACTACATAAAATATCCCAAGGAGAAAAGTGTACAAAGCCATTTGTGGCTTCTATGATTTTCTTTTAATTTCACCCCCAAATGCACCCCCTCAGACGGCTCGACAAACTCCAGTATGGTATCAGGGATGAAGAAGAAAGCAAACTACATAACATATCCCAAGCATAAAGGTGTACAAAGCCAATTGTGGCTTCTATTTTTTTTAAATTTCACCCCCAATTGCAACCCCTCAAACGGAGAAAAAGTAAATTGTGGGTATGGTTGTTATGTATTGAAACCTCATTAATTAAAATCTGCAAATGAAAAGCGTCTACATGTCATTTGAACCAAGTTATATGACTATTACAATGGAGCTGTATTTTTCTCAGTGTACATATGTGGAGAACTTCACAACCTATATTAATATATACAGAGTGAACCACTCAAAACAATCCACCCTGCTATTTGGCAGTATTCATTGGATTTTAAGAAAATGCTAAAACAAGTCGATTTTTATTCCAGAGGACACATTTTTTACAATACCGACATCTGTCATATGTCAACCCCCTCCCTTCCACTTTCGGAGATGACGCAATATTTTCTTAAATATTTTTACTTAGAAAACTTACCTTTTTTAGATGCCCACTAGATGAACCAATGAAGACTACAGTGAAGTCTCCAGTGGAAGTTGCAACGACGGCAGTCAAACGGATGTTAAAAAGAAGAACTGGTACAGCTGAAACTGGTTGTTCGCCACCCAAGGGAGTATTAACGTCCAGTCCACAAAAATCTTCGCCAATTGTTTGTAGTTTCTGAAACAAAAACTAAATTTCAAAATTCTGTAAAAATATATTTATATATTTGTATCATTGCAGCGTCCGGATATAGATGCGCTTTAAAGGGCCCATGTCTGTTTATACTTGATCTACTTATTTCAGACATATATACTCGTTACTGATGGAAAAATGAACTCAACTTATGGGGATAACATTACATGGCAGTTTACGAGAAATCGATACATAAATCATCACACTTCAACAATTTAAATTAGTTTACGGTCTATTTGAAATAACCAATCAATGATAATAATTATGTATCAGAAATATTTTAGACGAATAATTTTCGTAAATTTTTATAAAATATTTAGAAAATTTCACCACTGTGTTACATCACATTTAGTTTTGATAATGGCTATAATTCTTTGGGACATTGTATTTACAATCTTTCCAGGATCTTACGAAGTATAATTATCACAAAGAGCGTCCACATTAAATGTTGTCAAAATCATATTCGTGTATTCTAATTTCGCGAAAAAATTCAGATCCCAAATAACACGAAATTCAAAATAAAAGGGGATTTTGATTTCTAAAGAATACATAATATTGATAATTAATATTCAAATAAAAAATTTTCGTGATATAGGTCAAGCGGGCTTCCCAAAAATGTGAGCTGAGCCACTCATTTTAACAAAACCACCGTCATATTTTACAAATTAATATTGGAAAAGAATATATCTATGGAAAAATACAACGCTTATTCAAAGAAGGCGAGAATAAATGTTTAAATGTTTTTCATAATTGACAATTTTCGAATGAAATTATGATACATGTGTTTTATTGATTGAGGAAAAACATTAACTCGGGAACCCTTGGCAAGGGCAATTTCAAAGTATGATCACGTACGAAATTCAGAGGCGTAGGCTAAATTAAGTTTTCGTAGGATTTTAAAATGTATGAAAGCTTTCTACTATCACCCTTGAATTTATGAGGCGAATCTAAGATTTTGCATAAAATTGACTGACATTTCTCATTCCTCATGTTATTGACTTTTATTCAGTCTAAAGTTGGCACATTTGGAGTCGCTCTATCTCGGACACTCTCGATTTTCTCCGAAAAATGTTTGATAAGTTAACCTTAAACGAATTAAGAAGGGAGATAATATCGTTCCGATAACGATCCGAAGCACGTGGAGATGGGAAAATTAAAAACCTAAAATTCTCCAAGTGAAAACAAAAATTAAAGAAGCTGGAAAGAAAAGAAAAATAAGGCCCAAGTCAATTATTGAACCTGGATTTTCCGAGTTTACAGTTCGATAGCTTTTAAGATTTAGGATTTATCGTAGTAGGTAGGTTGGATAGGGAAGACTGTGTATACCGTGTATTCCTTTCTAAAAAATTATTTTACCTACATCTCTACTGAAATCTATATTCTGTCATTGTGAACCCCCATAACCCATTATAAAAAACAACAGGTTATGGGCTCAGACGAAAAGTATGGAATCAAGCCAGTTAATGGACATGAATATGAAGTAGATGTTATATTTAAATCCTCGCCTAGTTCCATATCATCCGAATAGAAGAAGACCGATATAAAATGCCAAAATCTTATAGTAAAGTGTATAAGCTAATTCCCACTTATAATGTGTTAAACATAAACAAGATTTGCTAAAGAAAATGTGGTAAGCGCAAGAAAATTGTTACCAAAAGAAAGGCGTAGCCAGCACAATTGATTTAAGAAAGATAATTCTCATGTTATTTGTCAAATAAGAAGATGGTATGAAGCCTCATTTTCTAACAACAGCTGTGATATTGTACGGATTTATTATTCATTGACGAATTTGTAAATTTAAGAGATCACAAACCTCTTAGTAAAATCCTTGTGTAATCCGTCCAAGTGAGTGACATATAAAATAACATCGTCTTGAAGCATTTCTGGTAATTTTGATAAATGCAGAAACTGTGAATATTCTTTTTTTAAATTTTGTTTATAAAGGATAAGTTTATCTAAGTCCGATATTATTGATTTTGTTTTCATCAAGTTGAGATTGTCACCTAGCAGCTTCAAATTAACTTTGTTAAACATACCAAAGATATCAGACAAGTAATAAATATCTATTTATCAATAATTGTTCAGATTTTCTTTCAAATCTTCTTGTAAAAACTCCAACACAGATTCAAAAAAGTTGAAAATCTTGCCAAGCAGGGGCCTTTTGATAGCCAGTAAACTTCAATGCGTAAATACCTCTTTGTTTTCCTCACATAGCTAAGCAAATGAGAGTTCAAAGAATTGCTCCGAATCTTGTCGACAGCATTTATAACACATTGTAAAGACTGGTGCAATCCAGGATCCAGAGATTTTTTGCTACTAAATATTGTCTGTGAATCACACAGTAAATGAGTAGTACCTCAAGCAGTTGTCGCTTTAAGTGAGCTATAAAACCACGATGACGACCAACCAGATGGTGTACCATCAGTCGCAATAGAAACAGTGTTCTTCCATAGAATAGCATTGTCGGTAAAAAAACGTTCCACGGCTTGAACAATCGATTCTCTATTGGTATCAGTCACTAAATATGTCAGCATGTACTCTCGACCACTTAGGTCCTCCATTTTTGAAGAATACTTTTTCAGTAATGTTTCGACTTTTTTCACCCAATACACCCAGTTAAGATAAATTGATTATTTCTGTTTCCAGCATTGCGGCAGTATACTCAGCTTTCGCAATCTTTTACGAAATTGTATATCAAACGATCCAGAGTAAATCGGCACTAATACACACGGTCCGCTTTTTGGGCCGCAGTCAAATTGAGTTCTATCCAGCGAGCATAAAGCTCGATGGTTGATTGCTTTCATACCAATACTGCAATTCATTGTACCAACGTTTCAGTTTAGCTAATGAACATGATTTATGCCTATCAGTTGATTAAATTAATCGAAACATTCTGGGCCTAAAACCGTGAAAAATAAAAGTTCTCAGTGTTAGTTCTATGTATAATTTTTGCTATTTACGCGCCTGTCATTTGTCAATCCCACCATAAAAAAATAACCTATTTATTATTTTTCTTCTATAAATACCCATTAAAATAATTCCTACTGAAATATTAAAATTAGTTCAATGTACATGTACAAACACATTTGAAATATCAGTGACACAGTTTATAGCGGCGACACTCCTAGTTTAGACTTAATACTTTTAATTAGTTCTGAACAATTCCATAAGTGCTTTTTTAGCTCTCATTATTACCTATTTAAAACTAATTACTTCCTTGTGAACTCATACACCTGTTGTTATTTTTATGTTTTAAATAAATCATAAACTGCAGTCATCGAGGTTGGATATTAATTTGACATTTTTACAAATACATGTATTTTATACTATTTCATTGAAAGTGACAATACTTTTTAATATAACATACTTGTATAAAACTCGGTATTACTAAATGATCAATGAATTGGTACTTGGTAAACAACATAATTTAATATATGGAATAATTTAATTAAAAATTATAATGGTTTCATTGTTGGAACCAAGCTGTAATAATGTTATACCTTAAAACTGAGATTAGAGATCAGAGCTATAGTATTTCTGAGCTATAAGTAATAATAAAACTACCGACAATATTTAGTTTAAGTTCGTGGGCTAAAAGTTCAACCCTAATAAAGATAAGAAAAAGAAAGAACCTCAGTTTATATACGTTAAAACATTAAGTAACAACCATTGTAAACTTGTATTCCTTTAAAGCGTCTAAGAAAATCGATACTGTTCAGAAGTAACTCGTATTTATCTGTTTCGAAATGTTCAAAAGCACTTTTTGAAATATATTTTTTAGTATTCGAACTTCTACTTGTAAGAAAGAACGTATTATTTAAACATGCACGGTTTTGAGCTAACCAAATAGAAGTTTTTACTTTTCACACTTGTCAATAAATTGAAAGAAAGAACATTTACAAAAAAGTTCCTATATTTGCGGACCTTTCAGTGTTACGGTTGCCCTAACTTTCAAAGACGAAACGAAAAGTTAGAAAACTACGTTAAAAACTACTTCATGTCAGTGTATATAAATAAAAAACAGCCTTTTGAGAAGGGTTTCATACAATACAACCGGTACATTGTTTGAACTATTGAAAATATTTTTAATATTTCAAGACGTTAAAGCAAACTTATAATAAAATTATACCGTAAGTTAAATTTCCCACAATGCCGCCAGAAGAACGGTATAGAATAAGCAATGATATTGATTAGACAGAGACAGAACAGTGCGCACCAGCCCACTAATGGTAAAGGTGTCTATTCACGAGAGCTTTTCTCTAATTAAGCGTATTATCTTTATCTCCTAAAATAATAATAATGAATTTATTTACACCATAATATAAAATATAATAATATAATCTTAAGGTATAAATAAATGAAAAGTGAATTTTTCACTTGTTTCGATACAATTACAATAACAAAAACAATAAAATAGAAAAACTTACAATAAATGAATATAAATATAAAAAAAAATTATAGATAATAAAATTACAAAGATCAAAGAGTGTTAGTATGGCTTAATATTTATATACAAATTCATTTAGATACAATAAACGCAGATAAATACAAAAAAATACCAATTATTAATGCATAGAAAGAATTTAATATATACAAATAGAGAACGCTGGATCTAGGAATTTTCAACTATACAAATTGTTGACTGTCGAAATATTTTTTAAATTTATTAATTCTAGTGAAATCGTATTAAACAATTTTGGGCTCATGTATGTACAAGAACGCTGCCCAATTGATTTTTGCATACAGAAAGTTATTTGAAATTGTTTATTCCGTGTGTAGTAAGTATATGAAGGTAAAGCGAATGTCTTATTAATGTAGTAAGAAAAACAATTTTGAAATAATAAAGCATTTTTTTCTCCTGGGCTCGTCTGACTATGTCTCCGAATAACACTGAAGCCTATTGGCTTATTGTATTTTATCCCATGTTAGTTCATAGCACCCACTCTGTCATCTTTGTACCTTGTACAAGTTTGTACAGATTCTTG